TGATGTAGGGCCCTTAATAGTTAGAATAGGGTTTTGGGGGGGTTCCTTAAATGGGTTCTACAAGGGCTACCAAAAGGGTTTAGGGTTTAGGGGCCTTAATGATTAGAATATGGTTTTGGGTGGTTCCTGTAAAGGGTTCCTTGAAAGGGTTCTATAAGGGCTACTACAAGGGTTTAGGGTTGAGGGGCCTTAATGATGAGGGTTTAGGGTTTAGGGTTTAGGGTTTAGGGTTTAGGGTTTAGGGTTTAGGGTTTAGGGTTTAGGGTTTAGGGTTTAGGGGGCTCCTTTATAGTGTAATTATAGTAATTAAGGAACCCCCAAAATAGTATGGCTCCTATATTACCTCCTTAATTCCGGAAGGAAGATACCTTAAGTTATACTATTAGCCCAATCAACCCTTAATTAAGGAATATGCCTTGACTTGTCGGGGGTTTATATTATAAGTTAAGTTATGTTCCATAACTAAGGGGGTATTGGGCTCCTTGGGTTGCTGGTTCCTTTTGGGGCTCCTTAGGTTTAGGGTTTAAGGAGGTTTAGGGTTCGAGGGTTTAGGGTTTAGGGGTTAATTAAGGCTCCGTAGGTTTAGGGTTCAAGGGTTTAGGGTTTAGGGGTTGAGGCTCCGCAGGTTTAATCAAGGCTCCGTAGCTTAAGGATTCAAGGGTTTTGGGTTCAAGGGTTTAGGGTTTAGGGTTCAGGGTTTGAGGCTTCGTAGGTTTGGGGTTCAAGGGTTTAGGGTTCGGGGTTTAGGGTTTAAGGCTCCGTAGGTTTAGGGTTCAAGGGTTTAGGGCTCCATAGGTTTGCGGGCAGAGCTCCCTTGAGAAGGGGTCCTTTCTGAAGAAGCCCTGCTATAATGAAAATATCCCTAAACCCTAAACCCTAAACACCAAGCCTAAGGGGAGCATATGTAAATACAATCCCTAAACCCTAAACCATGAATACGATCCTCGGGCCGAGGATTTTGGAATCTTCGCGTCCCGATCTTGTTCTTGGTGTCGCCGTAACTTCGGGGCCAGCTTAAGGCTTGTTGAGGGTTTAGGGTTGGCGAACGAAGGGTTTAGGGGCGCAGGATTTGGGGTTTAGGGCGTAGGGCTTATGGTTTAGGGTTTGTTGCTTAGGGCTTGTGGTTTAGGGTTCAGGTTTAAGGGTTATGGCTTCGCTTGTGGTTTAGGGTTTAGGTTTTTTGGGCTTCTGCTGTTGAAGTTGGTACTGTTGCTGCGTTGGGGAGAACCGTAGCTTCGATATGCCAGGGTCCAGGGTCTAGAGTTTAGGGTTTAGATAGGGTTTAGGGTTTGAAGTTTCGGGTTTAGGGTTTAGGGTTCAGGGTTTGAAATTTAGGGTTTAGGGTCCAGGGTTTAGGGTCAGAGGCTAGTTGAATGAGGCTGGACAGGGAATATGAAGCTGCTGCTGCTACTGCTGCGAGTGCTTGTCTCTGCAGCAGCTCCTCCTCCTCCTCGTCCTCCTACCACTACCGCTACCACTCGTAAACCGGCATTTTCCGTGCTGGGCTGCAAATCCTCATCATCCTAATCCCTAGTCCCGGTTTCAAGGTTTGGGGCTTAGGGTTT